AGTCACTAATTTACGGTTTACCCATTCTAGATAACTAAAGGCCTAAATGGGTCTTACTTGAAGGTGCTAATGGGGGTACCCAATTCTCAGTTAACTACTAATTTTTCGGCCAAATATCAGTTAACTACTATTTTTTTGACCAATTCTCAGTTAACTACTAATTTTGGTTAGCTATTAACTTTCACTTTCCTACAGCAAATATTATTCTGTCACAACCCGAATTTTCTTTGCTTCAGCACGTCAATCACTTTTGGGGGTAGGCCCTACTAAAATCAAGGTATAAATTTACATGAATTCACATGAACTCCGCCTCTGGTACAATTTATAAGTAACTGGAAATATGGAAAAGAACATAATTATCTAACCGAAGTTGCAAAAATGGGTAAGCGATAGCTATTAAGACCCCTATCTTTTAAGTACTTTAGATCCAAGTCGTATAATCATCAATATGACACCGGCCTCATAGATCCAGACGCACCAGTGATGATCTCGTACTGATCTTCCCGAACTGGTCATGCATGTCCAGCCAAAAACTACTTCAAAGTCACCTTCTTCGTCACTTTCATTATCTGAATCAGTCACGTACTTATCTTGTTGAAAGTACTGTATGTGTCCTGTATCTTTTTGTTGGCCTAAGTTTCAATCCATTTTCAATCCTTGCAATCCATTGCAACAGACGACGAGAAACAATATCAATGCTAACATAAAGTGTTAAATAACAAAACTGGACCATTATTTTTGGAATTCAATTGATGCAGAAAACGTTTAAGCTTTTTAAAAAGATAGCAAATAGCATGACATAGCTATAGTCACTTGACGCGGGTGGTAAAGATCCCGCTTTATCTTGAGTTGATTTGCTTCTTGTAGGTGGTTGTCAAACAGGTCGAAAATTCCCTATCCAGTCCGCCCCCATCCCAAATTCATCTTCTTTTGTCATTGTTTGCACCGATGGAAGAGACATGGTTGAGAGTGCTAACAAAGGCATGAAAGTATTTGACATGGGACAGTTCGACTTTTTGAATTCGTGGTTTTTTTAAGCGATTCCTTCATTCTATTTCCAAAGGCTTGGGCGTAGTTCAAGGCTAAATGTTTTGTGTTGAATGAGGTGAGAAATTGCGTGCTGTAGGTTTTCCACCGGCCTGCGTTGTCAGAAGTGTTTTGTACCTCCATACAGACCGTTATCGACATCCTCTTTCGCGTCCGTCAATGTTACCTTTTTCGCAGAAGTACCTTTTTTTGCCTATTTCAAAAGCGTCATAAAGATATCCAAAGGTTTTAGGAAATGAAACTATTTCAGAAATACCGGTTTAAACACTAGCTTGAGGTGACTCGACCCAGTTATTTTGTGAGAGTACCATCCCACTTTGAAGCTCTCTGGTATCCCCACCTTTACTTTGATCGTAAGTCTAACATATAGCATGGATAACACATAGATCAACCTACAATATAGCGTAGGATTTTTGGCGATCGGAGTAAATGTCGCATGGTTATAGTGCCACGCCTCTTTGGGGTTTGAGTCGAAATTCTGCTGTTACCGGCATTTTTCGTGAAAATCTCGCGGCTACGTATAGTTCGCATTAGTGCCTTACGTTGACCAGAGTTTCACCAAAATCGCAAAGACCCAATGCTAGAAATTCAGCGGTTTCCAAATTTAGGTCATAATTTATGTGAAAATGATAAGCAAACTTTACACGATTATATCTAATAAACTATGAGATTTATCCCTTTATTTTGGGGATCTTTATAACAGATGGGTCCTTGCAAGTCAGCAAAAAGCTTTAGGGCCTTGCAAATGAGCGCAATTTCGAGAAATGCAAACATATAGATATTTAATAGTTTTAGATATTTGTTGACGTTTGTCAGCGTTTAGGAGTCCTTCTATACGTAGCCGAGAGATTTTCACGAAAAATGCGGCAACAGCAGAATTTCGACTCAGACCCCAAACAGGCGTGGCACTATAACCACGTGACATTTACTCCGATCGCCAAAAATTTTATGCTGTATTGTAGATTGATCTATGTGTTATCCATGCTATATGTTAGACTTATGATCAAAGTAAAGGTGGGGATACCAGGGAGCTTCAAAGTAGGATGGTACCCTAACCAAAAAACTGGGTCGAGTCACCTTAATTGTCTCAATATAGTTGCAACTGAAACATCTGCTACAAAAGTGATATCTCGTAAGTACAAATTCCATGTACTATAATTAAATGAAAGATGCTGATTTCTTTGAGCATCAGAAATTCTTTTCGGCCAAATCCAATGCTAAGAGTCACAGCTGTTTTCTTCGGTAGTAATGTTTAACTTGACGTCCTAGGCCTTTTGGGTCCGTGACAACAGTACTTCTGTATCCGAACACAGAAATCTCTTATTAATATTAGAATTACGAATTTTTTACTGAGTTGTCTACAACCAGCTCTATGATGGACGCTTTCTATTTGCCGGGTACTGCTCTGATGCCTTTTGCACATAATAATTAGCAATTAATGAATGAGGCTGGG